CCCGACTAGGCCGCGCTGCTCGCCAGGCCCGCCGCGCGGGAGCGAGGGCACGCCCGGGACGGCTTTTCGGGGGTGGGTCGGGTCCTCGTGGCGCAGCCGGCCCTGCAGGCCCGACTTCCGCTCCCCATTCAACTCCGGTCCACGTTCCGGAGCGTGCACGCCCCCTCGCCCGGAAAGGATTGGGTGGCTTGTTTCTTTTCTTTTATGCCAATTAAACGTTTCCGTTAAAACACCGTAGCGAAATAACGGATTGAGGAAGGAAGACGTGCTACCACCCCCACCCCCCGGACCAGCATCTGGTACCCATTCGTCCCCTCCCTTGGCCGTTATTTTGATGTTTCATCTACTGCAAGAAAAGGACTGGTGAAGTGTGAGAAATTAGAGGTTGTTGGGGTTCCCCCCCACCCTCCGCCCCGGGCTAAATGGACTAGTGTTTCCCGGAAATTCTGGTTACCTTTGAGACAGGGGCTTATAGAGGAAGTCCCTCCCCTTTGAACGCTAGCAGCTAAATTAGATCAGTGGAGATAACGTCTCTCCTGGCTTTGTTTTTGGTTAATTCCCTTAATTACTCCGGCTTACCCTCAGAATTTCCTGGTGGACACCTTGCCACACCGCGTTTTGTGTTTCCCTAATCGGCCAAGTTTTGTTTTTTTTTTTAAATGGGGTGTTTTTTTTTTTTTGTAGTGGGGGAGGGTTAGGTTTGCGTGATTTACTTACTCAGTCTTATTAAGTAGAAGAAAAGGCAGCAGTAGTAATCGTTACAGCATCTTCCCATTTATTACTTGGAAATTTAAGGGCGGAGATGCAGTTAGGATTCTGATTTTTTTTTAGATATTCTCCTACTATTGGTATTATTAAAGTAGTGTCTGATCCTGTCGACAGTTTTGGGTTAAAAAATAAAACATAGAATCTAATTCTGTGGTAATGTTTGTGAAAAGTAAAAGAAGATTTTTTAAAGTAATCCCTTTGTAATGTAAAATAGCATTAGATGTAGAAGCTGCATGTGTGTGTGCGTGCGTGTATGTGTGTCCTTGACCGTGTTGTGTGTATGTGTCTGTATGTGTCCATGTCCTTGGCCATCTGGGGACTTGAACTCGGTCTGGTCCCTATCTCTGAACTTTTTTGCTCCAGTTAGCTTTTTTAACATTTGAGTCACCGCTGTGCTTTTTGGGTGGTTAATTGGAGACAAGCATCTCATGGACTTTCCTGCTCAGCTGTCTTTGGATCTTGATCCTCAAATCTCAGCCTCCTGAGTAGCTGGGATTACATGTTTGGGTTGTGTAATTCCAGGATGAGCTCAAGTTTAGTAACCCTCCTGTGTCAACATCCCAAACAGATTTACAGACAGTACCTCTGTGCTTAGCTCTACAAACTGCATTTAATCTTAACACATTCTTGAATTTTGCCTTCCCTTGATTAAGAAAAAATGTACCGGGCTGGGAAGGTGGCTCAGTGGCAGAGCGCTTGCCTTGCATGCATGAAGCCCTGGGTTCAATTCCTCATCACCACATAAGCAAAAGGAAAAAAGCCAGAAGTGGCGCTGTGGCTCAAGTGGTAGAGAGCTAGCCTTGAGCTGGAGAGCTGAGGGACAGTGCCCAGGCCCAGAGTTCAGGCCCCACAAGCGGACCAAAAAAAAGAAAAAGAAAAAGAAAAAATGTACATACGCATCTCTATATATATGCTTCTTCTGTGGTTATTCTCCCCTGGGGTTTGAATTGGGATGAGGTCTTGGCATGAGCCATTTCTTTAGCGGTTTTAGCTTTAAATTATGCTTATGTTTTTCTGTGGCTGTTCTCTCTCCTCTCCCTCCCTTCCTCCCTCCCTATTTCCCTCCTCCTTCCTCTTCTCCCTTCTTCCCTTCCCTGGAGATTGAACTCTGGGCCTTGACTTGAGCATGTCTCCAACTCTCTTTGTTTAACAGTCTTTTTTTTCATTGGGCCTGGGCACTGCCCCTCAGCTCTTCAGCTCAAGGCTAGCCTTCTACCACTTGAGCCACAGCACCACTTGAGGCTTTTCTGTGTGATATGTGGTACTGAGGAATCAAACCCAGGGCTTCATGCATGCTAGGCGAGCCCTCTACCACTAAACCACATTCCCAGCCCTAACAATCTTTTCAATAGGGCCTCTGTTTATGCCTGGGTTGGTCAAAACCACAAGTCTCCTGTTAGCACTAGTTAAGGCATTGGAATGAAAGACATGTACCAGCACACTCAGCTTTTATTGGATAGGTGGGGGTCTCTTAAGCTTGTGCTTGGGCTGTCCTCAAACCTTACTCCTTTTGATCTCAGCCTCCTGAGCAGCTAGGATTACAGACATAAGCCACCATGCCCTGCTTTAAAGTTGGTTCTTAATGTTAGGTTTTAGGAAGTCTGTCCATGTCAGGTCCTCCAGGGCAAGGATATAGCTAGGACCCTTGGGGCCCTTTCATTGAATTGATTAAGGTATTTCTGAGAAGTTAACTATTGCTCATAAATTGCTTATAAACTAATTTAAGAATATGAACCTAAAAATTTGAGTTCTCTTTATGGCGTTCTAGGTCTGAAGATTTGCGGCGTGAATTTGGTCGTTATGGTCCTATAGTTGATGTGTATGTTCCACTTGATTTCTACACTCGACGTCCAAGAGGATTTGCTTATGTTCAATATCCTTTCTTCAGATGGCTGATTAGTGAGGGGTGTTGAAGTTTCAAATTCAAGTTTATGTAAGTGGTAACAACATCTAAGAAGTAGTTTATTTTTGTCCTCTAATAAATGTCATATGGCTTCAAATTTTTGAAAATTAATTCTGACTCACATTGCTCTTACTGTTTCTTAAAGTTAATCCAAAAATGGTTAATTATTAAAATTCCCATCCATGCTGCTGAAACTCAAATCAATGAATATAATATGTGATTTAAATTTGCTACCATCTTAATATAAGTCAATTAAAAGTTAATATGTTCTTGTGCTTAGCAATAAAAGTTTAGTATTGTTTGTTAATTTGAATCACTTGATCAAAAACGAATTGTATAACAATGAGGTAAACTTCTTTAATATTGTCCCCTAATTTGCTGTCCTCTTGTTACCTCAGAATGTAAAGCTGTACAGTTATGGCGACCCCAAAGAGAAAGCATGAAAGAACCTTTAGAGTAGAGTTCAACACTTAAGGCAAGTAGACAAGCCAAAGACCTCTTAAGGATCAGGCTTGAAGAGAAGGGAGAGTTTGGGAAAAGAAAAATAAAGAAAAGCTGGAAGAAGGACAAGCCTAATGGGAGACAAAGCCTCGCTTTATCTACAGAGGGGGAAATGGTTGTTTTTCAAAGTTAAAGATAAAGCCATCTGTCATATTTGGCCAAGCATCTCATGACAAGTCCTTCTGACAAGCACTAAAAGAGTTAAAGGTCAAGATGAAGTTGAATGATGGCCAAGATTAAAGGAGTCATACCTGATGTATCCTACAGAATTAACTTTTTTTCTTTTTCTTTTTTCTTTTTTTTTTTTTTTTGGTTAATGTTTTATAAGCAGTTACTTTTCAGAATTCTGGTTTGGTGTAGTGACAAAACATGTAACCTGTAACTCTTTGTGTGGGCCTATGATGTGATTGTGGTCTTGTGTAAATGCACTTTCTCTTAGGTTTTCAAGTTAAAGTATAACAGGGTCTAACATGTTAAGCTTCAGTTTGGCATGTTTGGGTTAGCTCAAGTGATCAGAGGCTCTTTGGAATAGCATGAGAACTCTACCTAAGGAGAGATAGGTGCATGTACCAGATGCTACTTAGAAAGAGCTCTGGTGGTCTTGCAGGGTCAGCTATGCTAGCATTAAAAAGAGATGGATTCTTAACTGGCTGCCAGGAACACAAACTCCTATTAAATTCTGGAGTCTTAACTCTGAAGCCTGCTGGCCCTGCAAAGTGATCATTTGGCCCTGAGTAGGTTGCAGAAGGCCTTCTCTGTAGGTACCTAATCCAGATCTATGGGAAATTGATCCTTGACCCAGAGTTTCAAATGACTTTGCTTCCCTTCAGTGAGATCATCTCCTTACAAAACAAAGATTTGGGCTGTGAACTACACAGGAGGAATTCTTACCACTTAAAAGTCAGTGAGTCTCTTGCCACTTTCAGGTTGTCATGTCCTAGTAAGGCTTGGAAGGGAAGGCCAAAGGCTGCTTGTACAGAGTCAGTGATCACAGACAGCTTTGGGAATCATTTGCATAAGTCTATTACAGAGAGGATATTAGCTTTTTCTAGCTTGGAAAATAAAGCTAGTGATCTATCGTGGTTTACAAAGTTCATCTGATTTTACCTGGTTTAGGGTGGCCTTGAAACAAGAGTTTGCAGTAGTTTAGCCCAGGAGTATGTGATACATGAGAACAAGGGATGGTAAATGAAGAATCCAAGTAGAGTGATAGTGCTTTATACATATGCTTTAGGTCTTCCTGTAGTTGTAAAATAGCTTGAAAGAAATAAGTAACAGGCTGTAAGTTTATTTTAGATGACTGAAGTACAAATTTGTCCATAACTAGTATCAGTTACAACTTACCTACTCTTTCCTACCTGATTCTATTCCTAATTAGCCTTCTCTTCCTTTCCCTGGCTTAACAAAAAATGTATACCCTTACTATCTAGCCTAGAATCCTGTTTTTTGAGGACAGCATCAGAGGGTACTTAGTTCTTGTTAATTATCTTTCTAGCTTTTGATATAAATTCTCTTAAGTTATTTTGTCTCTCTGGGTAACAAAGAGAGTGTACCCATAAGTAAACTATTCCTTTTCATTAGTTAGGAGCCTGAGTACAATTAACATTGAAGGAATTAGGTTACAGTATTTCTGGCCCTAAATGTTCCATTGGCCTTTTCATGTTAAATACCTGGTTACTTAAGACTTGGGGAACCCTCTCCTTCCATTCAACCTACGGGAAGAGAGCTGGAAACTACAGTCTTAATTTCTTCCATGATAAAACACGGGAAGTCTAGTAAGGCTGAAGTGTAGACCATTTTGTCTCTGAAATAAAAGAACACTAATATTAGTCTTGAAAGGAATGTCATTTCAGGAACTATTTCTAAATTATATATGTTATATAATTTTATTATTATATATTATATAAATGTATATTATATTTATGTATTATATAATTATATAAATTATATTATAAATTTATCTAAATTTATGCTCTTATTCTCAGGTTTACATTTGAAATAGAAATGCTCAGGCCAGTATAGGATTTTTAGTATAGAATAAAAATTCACCCCAAAACGAAGCTAGCTTCCTTTCCAAGTCTTTTTTAATCAAACATTGCCTTAAGTGTATACATGGGTTCTGTTAGAAATTCTGAAGTTGGAAACCAGTCTAAGACCCACTTCTGTATGTTTAGTGTTACACTTCAGGCTCTCCAGTGTGGGAATCCTTAAAATGATCTGTTGTTTCTTGATAGGATTTACAGTCTGCATGGATGTAATGTGCATTTGGTATCATGGTTGTTTGACTATTAATACCAAGGAGAAGCTAGCATGCTTGTTCTTCCTGAGTCATGCAAAGTACTCAACTACATGAATAAATAGTATCAGCTATATCTGACAAAAATAAATTCAAAATTAATGCTTTAATCTTTTCTAAGTTAAGGTGTATTTTTGCTTGCTTACACAAGAACTATTGGTGTTTTCATTTGAAATGAATATAAATATTTTGGATTTAAGAAATTCTACTTTAGTGCCCAACATAGAATTGACCAATTTTGGTTTTCTTTCCTGTTGAGAGAAAAGTTTTAGTAGCATATTTTGGTAGTTGAGTTACGACAGGTCTTATTGCAATGTGTTTCCAAAATGTCGTAGGAAAACACAGGTGCTTTTATTGCTCTGGTGTTAATGGCTGGATCAACCCAAGTAGTAAGTAGGATGTGGTTGGCTTTCTAGAGATTATGAACTATCCCAGACTTATCAACTGAGCTTTCATTAAAGTTTACAAAACTTCCCAAGCCCCTTAACATTTAGTACATTTGAGGATGTTCGTGATGCTGAAGATGCTTTACATAATTTGGACAGAAAGTGGATTTGTGGACGTCAAATTGAAATACAATTTGCACAGGGAGATCGGAAGAGTAAGTACCCTTATACCTAACATACGTATAATACATTGCTTTTAAATAAATGTCATAAGGTTTCTTGGAACTATTTGGGCAGTTTAGTCAACTCTTGAAAACCCTAATGGATCCTATTTAATACTGGGCAAGATACTGAAAGATACAAATTAAAATAATTGCTGAGAGAGCATTTAGGTAGTTATAAATTAATGGTAATTTCTCCAGTTGTTGAATCTGGACAGTGTCTGTCTTACAAATTTGAACCAGAATGATGACTAAATGTATAGGTTTGTATGAGAAATTTGTTAGCTGTCCGTTGCTTTTCTGTGTCATTGTCTTTCAGAACTGCATATTTATATATTACTATGTTTTGGTGCTGCACATAGTTCATAGGCCAGATTTAGAATTTGAAGTAGTTCTATGGTATAAATTCCTGTAGTCAAAGGTAGGTATCCTATATTGGACAACCTTGTGAGGAGACTTGGAAAAAGAAAATAGAAGAATGTTAGGGTTATTTTTTAACAGAAAGCAATTCTGATACAAATCCTGAAAATAAATGCCTGAAATTAATATTCCATAACCTTGACCCAACCCAAGGAAGGAAAGCTAATTCAGGTCTGCATCTCACCAAAACTAGAAACATTTCTAAAACAGATTCCAAAATATATTACTCACTTTCCTTGGTATAAAGGGATGCAAGAAAGAGGAATGTATAACTCATTTTGTGGGTTTAAATACTGTTTTTAATGTTTCTAAATATTTCTGTTCTCTGTGTTCCTAGCACCAAATCAAATGAAAGCCAAGGAAGGGAGGAATGTGTACAGCTCTTCACGTTATGATGACTATGACAGATACAGACGTTCTAGAAGCCGAAGTTATGAGCGGAGGAGATCAAGAAGTCGGTCTTTTGATTACAACTATAGAAGATCTTACAGTCCTAGAAAGTAAGTGATGTACAGTGATCTGTCTTTTTAAAGTGGCTGTGTAGCCAAGTGTGACATGTGCCTCTAGTCCTAGCTACTCAGAAGGTAGAAGTGGGAGGAATTGGAATTTGAGCTTAGCCTATGCAACAGGCACAATCTCAAGAAAGATGTATTTGTTCACAATATTTTACCTGTTTACTTGAAATTGTATGTATCAAGTACTTCATTGAAAAAATATTTTAGTATTCCATTTTAAATGAATTAAGACTCTGTAAATAGACATTTGTCACTGTTTGCTTTTTTTGATATGCTTTTCAGCAGTAGACCGACTGGAAGACCACGGCGTAGCAGAAGCCATTCCGACAATGATAGGTAAATAACTTTGTTTTGAAAAAGACTTGTGTATTTTTTCAATTTCACAGTGAACTTTTTCTCTAAAAAATAAGTAATTTGATTAATATAGAATCTAATTTTTACTCTAATTGTATCTCTCCTCTGTTTTGAAAGATTCAAACACCGAAATCGATCTTTTTCAAGATCTAAATCCAATTCAAGATCACGGTCCAAGTCCCAGCCCAAGAAAGAAATGAAGGCTAAATCTCGTTCTAGGTCTGCATCTCACACCAAAACTAGAAGCACCTCTAAAACAGATTCCAAAACACATTATAAGTCTGGCTCAAGATATGAAAAGGAATCAAGGAAAAAAGAACCACCTAGATCCAAATCTCAGTCAAGATCACAGTCTAGGTCTAGGTCAAAATCTAGATCAAGGTCGTGGACTAGTCCTAAGTCCAGTGGCCACTGATAGTATAAACCATGATACTTTCTAGGCATGTATCACTCATTTATTCATAGTTTGGTATACTTAAATTATCAGGAATACAATGTTGCAATGATGCATAAAAACACTTGTTAGTTTTCCCTGTACCAGGCAATGGTTATAATTAAAATGATATGGTGTTGAGAAGCCACTCTTAAGAGTCTGGTTTGTTTAATGTTATGGGCAGCTACCAATTTGTGGTGTCTCTGTATATTTTTGTAAAGATTCTCATTTTTTATGCTTGAAGTCTTGGTGAAAAGATGTTGGTTGACCATAATTTGCAACATTGTCTTATTAAAATAAATTTTCATAGTAATATTTGGTAGAACTGTTAACCTAGAAATGTAGCTTGCTAATAAGATAGAATGATACAAAAGTGAGGTTGTAGCCACATTACAACACTGACTGCTCAGACACATTTAGGTTCAGGGTGGACCTTTATGTCTTGTCAAAATGTCTAGGCCTGTGATAATAGTTTATTTATGATGCAGTGTGGAATAGTTCTTTTGTTAATCCCACTGTTGTGGGGAATGATGCCAACTGGGTCAAATAGCATTTTCACGAAAATTTGAGTTTTTTGCTGAAACATGGAGCCTTCAATGTTTTGTTTGTTTTTTGGGTTTTTTTTTCTGGTTTCTAAGATTTGGAACAGAAGAATTCCCTTTAAAATTTGAATTTGTCAGCAGCAGAAATAATTTTAAGGGGAAAGGGTTGTTTTTATGTAGTCTCCAATTTAAGGAATATTGTTACTTAGTTTTCTTACTGCTATTAGAAGCATTAGATAGTTTCAAAGTAGGTTTCTGTGTGTGTGTGTATGTGTGTGTAGTGTGTAGTGTGTAAAAATAACTGAATTTTGATGCTTTGAGCACTTGGCACATGCATTTGTATCAAAGTCCGCCTGCCTCTTTAAGGGAGGCTTGCTCTTCACACCTCAGTTTATTTAATGTGAGGCAAGTTGAAAGACACTAGCATCCTAGCTGATTCTGTGGTGCCATGAAACAAAATAATTTTGAAAAAAGGATTAGTTTTAAGCAAGAGCTTCATCTCTTAGTTTTTGATTATCAATATAGTATCTGACTCAAATGAGGAAATAATTCCCTTAACTATTTATAATTTCTAGTCTTTCTCTGAAACATTTGAGAAGTAATAAGACTGACTTGAAATGTCCAGGATCATTTCAGAATAAAAGTTAGCATCTTTGAAAATCTCACACTGCTTGTTTGCAGATATGAGTAAGAAATGCCGTGGGGAAATGATTTCTTTTGGAAGGTTACTTTTTTAAATTTTTGGTTTTAGAAGTCTAGGCCCTGCCTGTATAAGAACAAAGATGGTTTTTTAATACTGTTTGTGGAATGTGTTTAAAGGATTGATTCTAGAACCTTTGTATATTTGGTAGTGTATCTAACTTTGATTTCTTTACTGTTTGCAGTTAATGTTCATGTTCTGCTATGCAATCATTTATATGCACGTTTCTTTAATTTTTTTTTAGATTTTCCTGGATGTATAGTTTAAACAACAAAAAAGTCTATTTAAAACTGTAGCAGTAGTTTGCAGTTCTAGCAAAGAGGAAAGTTGTGGGGTTAAACTTTGTATTTTCTTTCTTATAGAAGCTTCTAAAAAGGTATTTTTATATGTTCTTTTTAACAAATATTGTGTACAACCTTTAAGACATCAATGTTTGGATCAAAAACAAGACCCAGCTTATTTTCTGCTTGCTGTAAATTAAGCAAACATGCTATAATAAAAACAAAATGAAGGAAATAATGATTAACTGGAATTATTATAGTATTGGATCTGATTTTAAATAACAATGGAAATAATCCTTTATAGCGTTAGAAATATCAGTGTTGCATTAGGCACAACTAACTTTGGAAATGACAACCTCACAGAAAGTTACATCTTTTCCAGAGTACTTAAAAATTCCTATCTCAAAGTTGTTTTATGATTGTTCTTAGGGTAAGCAACTTAGGAGGTTATTCAAAAGTATTAAGATACATCCAAGTGAAATTTGGACTAGTTGGTTATAAATTTATCCTTTCCTTATGGCTCTCTTTGTAAAAAAGATACATTTAAAATTCTTCTACTGAATGTTGGTGAGCATTTATTACGTGATGATAATCACTTTGAGGAAGTTGTTTAGGTATTTTGTGGTTGAATTCTAGATATTTTAATAATAGTAGAGCTGATAGTTTGTTATTGGAGATGTGCCAGACACTGCTTAACAGGCTGTGTTGACTTGTTCACTCTTCACAAAACCCTAGGAAGATACTTTTCTTTTTTCCAAATACTGTTTCTAAAATTTCACTTCACACAGACTAATAGTTGAAATCATAAAGGACCTGGATCCTATCGGTGATTGGTGAGGATTGGTGTGCAGTATTCTAAGTTAATTTTAGATTATTTTTGAGTACGTGATATGTGTCTGTCTCTGGGCTGTATTTATTATCAACACAAAAGTTAAAGGCTGAAACTTTGCCTCTTAAGCCAAGTAAGCGGGACAAAAAGTGCTTGTGTGAGAAAGGACAGGTGCTACATAGAGTTGGGCTGTTAAATTACAACCCAGGGAAAAGACCTGGGAACTACTGTACTATCTCATGAGAATTTGGCCCAGTAAGCTGCTACATCCAGTCAACTAACAAATTCCTGTATACCACAGAGAAGAATAAAGAAAACCAAACTGACAAACATCCTTCTTTTATTTAAGACCAAACTGCAGCTGGAATACCCAGTACAGTTCTGCTTACTACACTTCAAGAAAGATCTGAAAGCGGAAAAAGAACCAAAGAAGGGCAGTTCAAGCGACCAAAGGGTGGGTGGAAGGTGCTGCAGTATGAATACTGTACGAATATTTTGACTCTGGTCTGAAAAGATAAAAGAATTATCGAAACTACATGGAATAATTGAAGTCCCTTCAAGTTTGAAAGTAAGCATTTTAGGACAAATAAAAGGCAATTCGATTTTGTACTTATGGAAATCAGTCCCTAAATATGAACAGGTTTATATTGATTCATAAGTTATTGGACTCTAGGATGTCTGAACATGGAGGAAGACAGCCACAGTCTCCTATGGTGCCTCTATTGGTCTGTCTTAACCTGAATTGAGTGGGGGGGGGAGTATGGTCCAATATAAACTTTTCTTGGTTGTTTCTTAAAACTCAGTTCCATTTATGGCAAGTCTTGCCTTGTTTATTCTGATGCCAGTATTTTCTGCTAAAAAATGCTTTGTGTTGGCATCTGAGTTTATTTACTTGTATATCACATGCAGTTTACATCTTTAACCACTGTTTCCCAGGTAAATCCCAATTATACTTGACATCTGGCTGAAAGGGCCTGTCTCTAAGCACCTCTTCCTAGTCAGTGTGTTCAGTGAGTATTTAATGTGTCCTTAGTGTGGACAAAACATTTTACTGGATAATTAAGGAGAATGGATAATAAAGGTCTACTGAGCACAAAAATCTAGTGAATCATTACCATGTGCCTCAGGGTTCTGGGGTGTCATTTTACACCATACCCTCATGTAATTGTACAACCCAATATTATATCAAAGATAAGTAATTTTATGGTTATCTGCCATCTAAAAGTATCCAGTATTCCTCTTGTTTGCATCCCATTAATAATGAAAAAGATTTAATCTGTAATTCATTTACTGTGCAGTGGCTGTATATATTATATTGTTAAACTCTGTCTCAAACATACAAGAAAATAATTCTCAAAATGAGTAACTGCATTAGACATAAAGGAGACCCTGGGTGCTATATTTAAATTATTTGGGGGCAGACAGATATTACTCCAACTGATTTAGTATATTCTGTAATGGAGAAATTGTTCACAAATACTTTCTAGTGATTCACATGTACATTTTATAGGGGACACAACTGTATAGTGAATAAATAACTTTTATAGTGTCACAAAACTTTGGATTCCTAAGTTTCTTATTAGGCTATAAAGTTTTGTCATACATTGATCCCATCACATTTGATTTTGTTGTATTTTACCACGTATTTAAAAACTTGTGAGTTCATTTAAAATCTGGAAATGGAGTGTAAACCTCTACAACAGTTTTGAAAAACATAAATATGCACATCACTGAAGATACAACATGGAGATCCATTTTTAAAAATTTAGTCCGTCAAATAGAGTCCACAAATTGTAACTTGGTTCAATCAGGTTGGAAAATGGCTATACCTTTATTTTCAAGGAGATACTACAAATTGATATCTAGAGTTTAGTAAAGCAGAATTAATAGAATTACAAAATGTATTTTATACGTTTACATTGAATTCGTGGTTCTTAAAGGTAGAGGGGGTTTTATTTTTTTTAATGTGTGTTTATATTTTGTCCTCTATCCCTTACTTTTGAAGTTAAAATATTCCAGGGGGGGGGTAGTTAAAGTTACATATTTGGTTGGTTGAGATTTTTTTTAAGACGGTGAACATAGTTTTTCGTTTTAGTATTTGGGGCTGTTGTTTTTGGGGGGGGTTGGCTAAATATTATTCCTAACAGTAATACTTGACAATTCTCTGCAACTTTTAAATGTGGTAAATCAGACAGGACCTATGTTTTTGGCAGCTGTTAAGTTACAATGAATTGTCTACCTTTTGTGGTTTCCATGTACGTTAAAAGCTGTTGTTACTAAGCACCTGCCAGGCACGTGCCACACCTAAAGCTGCTCACATATTCCTACTTAACACTCCTGAGCAATGGGTGCTATTTCCACGTATAAGAAAGTGGTCCTTCATGGAATACCTACCATGTGACAAGCTTTTTGAATATACTTGTTCCATTCCTCAGTACTTGTTAAACAACAGGTTGCTTTTAGGATGAGAAAAATAAGGTGGAATCCAAGATCTCCCAAGTTGTTGGGACTCAGTATTTTAACCATCTTTCCAAATTTAAATTTCTATAATTTTCATGGTAGTATTTGACCATGTTCCTGTTAGTCTCAAAATTATATCTTGGCATGGGAAGGCTGAGATTGAGCAGTAGTTGGGACTCTTTAAGAGGATCATGAGGATTTAGGAGCCACAGGAGTGAAATGTTCTTTATTTTTACGGTGATAACTGGATAAATAGGTGATATAAGCAACTTGTTTACTTCAGCTGTTAACATCTATAAGCTATCCTAGTAGTCATGGAAAACGACTCCTTGGGTCTTTTCCTCTGCCTTCTCTAAGTGTTGGTTATTATGACGTGTGTGTGTAAAGCTGTTTCATTCCCTTTTTAGAAAAAAAAGGGATGCATGTAAATTAATTTGACAGTAGTTTGTAAAGTAAGAGGCCTTTGTAATCTAGTTTTCTGCAGATCAATTTTTTTTGAATGCTGGAGAAAAAATAAACTGGTCTAGGAGCAAAACAAAAATCTTGGTTTTCTTTAGATTTTGCTCTCTCAAAGATGTGTCTACCCTGGTAGACTTTCTCCTTATTTGTGTAAGAGGCTTTAGATGTGGATTTGTTATTTAAGTTGCCTAGAAGAGCCAGGTGCTGATAGCTCAGGCCTGTAATACTACCTACTCAGGAGGCTGAGATCTGAAGATCACAGTTCAAAGCCAGTCTAGGCAGTAAAGTTCTTGAGACTTTAGTTGCAAATTAATCACCAGAAAACTGGAAGTGGTGCTGTGGCTTAAAGTGGTAGTGTGCTAGTGGTAGTCTTGAACAAAAGAGCTCAGGGACAGCGCCTAGGCTCAGAGTTCAAGTCCCACGACTGATGTAAGTAATGGCCTAGAATGCAATTTAAACTGGGAAGTTTGCAAGCGCAGCTAAAACCCTTTGCCCTCCTCACGCCCGTTTGGGAGAATATAATTTGCTGAGCTCTTAATAGGTTATGGACCTGGATTTCCTCCTTATATATGATATGGCCACCAAAATGATAGTAAAAAGTGACATTTACCTATGACTCACAGTATGGCCAGCAGCAGCCCTGCATAGTACGTTCCATCACTACTAAGTTCATTAGTTTGGGGAAATCTTGTCACCACTTTCTGAAAGCTAACCAGAACCTTTATTTCTGTGTATTTCTTAAGGTATGAGGTATTCATATGACCAAAAATTCAGGTTACCCTTACTCAGTAACTCTTGTCTACTCCTGCCTTACATTTTAGAACTTTCACCACTTCCTGTCAGTCTCAGACTGAAAATACATTAAAAAAAAAAAACTTGGCATATGTGGCTAATTGTTCAATGTAAAGAAACTGCAGCACAGTACAGAAAATATAGCCTTGCTCTGAGCCGCTAAAATTCTTCCAGCTACCTCTCCACTGTGAGTGATCTCTCTTTCCAGGGGTGTTAACTAAACCAAAGGGTTCTTGGCAATTTGAGTTTTTTTGTGCTAATTAAACCTGCTTTACTCAACTTTGAAAACCTTGGAAATTTTACAAGTGTTTTTATTAACAGTGGTAGGAAAGTGAAGTCCCAAATAATGTTAAGGTTAGTAGCAAGTGAGTAGCCTTTATCCAGCCAAACATTCTCATCATTCCAGTTTAGTTGTGTGCATTCTAAGATTAGGCATGTTATTTAAATAAAACAAGATACTGGGGAGAAAAAAAACTTTAATTTCATGTTTTAAATTCAGATCATGTACATTAAGTACCATATAAATTTGTTCTTTTAGGGTATTCCAGTATTTGGCTTATTCAGATTTGGAGAAATACACAACCTAGCTGTTTGCTTTAACAAAGTATCACATTAGCCAGGCACTAGTGGTTCCTACTTGTAGTTAGTCCTAATTACTTGGAGGCTGAGATCTGAGATGACAGTTCAAAGCTAGCCTAGGCAAGAAAGTCTGTGATGTTCTTATCTCTGATAACCAAATAAAACCAAAAGTGGAGCTGTGGCTCAAGTGGTAGAGTGCTAGGCTTGAGCAAAGCTGAGGGACAGCACCCAGACCCTGAATTCAAGCCCCAAGACTGATACCAAAAAAACACGAAATTAAGGTATCAAATTAGAAAACAGGACATTAACTTGTAAATCAGCCCACATTTTTTGGACTTGCTTAGGGTTAACTGTAGCATTTACATTTACTCCTAAGATTGGCAAAAACACATTATTGGGATTGAGCAAGATATTTCATCTTTTACACAAGTAGCCTCTTACACCACCCCCTTGCTAGACTTAGACCTGACAGAAAAAAATTTAAAGTCACTAGCACCAAACACTGTAACCAGTACAAGAATTGGTGAAAGCCAAAAATCGATCTTTGGGTTTAAAAGTGGGGTGGGGAGGATTCCTATACTTCATTTTATATCTCTCAAAAATAGGATGTGTTTAGCAGCTTAAAAACTCCAGCTATAATATAGAATATTACACTAGGATGTACTTTGAAGTATAGTATACAACCAAATCAATCTTGAATACACTGGCACTTTAGCACAAACTAAAAACACAGGGACCTTTAAAATTAGGCCATAGCATAAAAAACAGTCCATGATCTTACAGTCTGTAAATTCATACTAAAAATAGTCTTTTGTAGGATAAAAGCCAAGAAAACTTTACATATGCTACAGGCTTATTACATGTATTTACATGGCTCTTTCTCCCCTCAGTACTTAAAACTTTCACATTATACAACTTCCTATTAAGCTTTGCAGAGATAAGCCAGATCACTGTTAGAATAGCTTGTACAGTGCTATAATACAAAAAAATGTTCCTCCAAACAACTAAGTGGCTGGGAACTTGTGGCTCATATCCAGGAGGCCTAGGATTTTACAATCTCAAAAGCCAGCCCAGGCAGGAAAACCCTTGACTATCTCCAATTAACCACCAAAAAAAGCCAGAAGTAGAGCTATGGTTCAAGTGGTAGAGCACTATCCTTCAGCAAAAGAGCTCAGGGACAGCATTCAGGCCCCGAGTTCAAGCCCCAGGACTGGCAACAATTATTAAGAATAAAAAACTAAAAACATAGTGATCTCTTAATACTACTGTGAAAAAGTTTTGGTGCATCTTACTGGCAAACACCTATCTATTTACATTTAAGAAACCAGACCACTGAGGTCTACTGTGCCTTGTTCCAATAAGCCACAAACACCAGTTACACATTTGCTACTATACAGTTCAGTAAAATGCTACTATTAAGGAAAATTCACATTTTCTTCTGGCAGTGCATTGGGCTATTGGCATGTTACTAGTTTGGGTGTTTCTAGGGCATTAAACTTTAAAATGTCAGCCTAGGTTTTTTTTTTTTTTGTACATCTTTACAAGTAAACCTGACCTATAAGTATTAAATTGCTCTCTCCCAAGATTAAAGTAATTCCTTTAACATTGCTCCCAAATTTAACCTTCAATGGTCTCATTTCAAAGTTACTCATTTGCGAACACTAACTCAAGTACAATCACTTAGTTATTTGAAGTTGCACTGTACTATTACACAGTGCACACAGCACATAAAAACATGATAATAACATTTTTACATCATTAGCAGTTTTGCACAATCTAAAGAATTTGAGACCGGTCAAGCACCATTTGTAATTGTGGCTAAATTTAAACTACTTAATCTTATACCTGTACTTTAAGTAAAGTTTTCAGTTGGAATGTCATTGTTTCCTTATCTGAAGGATTCAATGACACAGGAACCCAGTGACTGGGTGGCTTGGGGAGAACACTTGGAGATGGCGGCTCACTGAATTTGGCTCCAGCATAGTTCTGATTAGCTTTAGACTTAAAAAGCAAGCTAGGACTTGATAAATTCGAGTTCCAATTTGGATTATTTGGGAAGTTTTTCGTCTTTCCCCCATTTTGAATGGCTTGCCATGCAGCTGCTGGTGAGTTATAGCCATGTCCTCTTTCTTTTTTTGTATGAACAGTCTTCATCTGGGAATTCTGATCCTTGGTCTTCTGTCTATTAAGCTGTGGTTGGTTCTTACTAACATTTCTAGATTGAGGATCTGGAATGTTGTACCTCTCTCCACCACCCATCTTCAGCTTCTATGTCACCTGTAAGTAAATACAAACATAGAGAAGAATTCCAATTTAAAAATCTTGGGGAAAACGGAAGAAAAAACAAAATAAAACAGGCTATATTCAGCTGCTTTGACTCAGAAAATTCATTCTATGCCAGGTGTACTTACTATCTTTCCTAAGAAGAATGGAACTTACCCACAAATCAATGTAATCCTGTATCATATACAGTTTAGGACGGGTCATCTTAAAATATTTCCCTGCTTTGGCATGTATTTTTATACCTTTCAGTCCGCTTTTCAGATTGCTGGATTTCCACCTGTACTCTTCCTTGCAGCCAAGCCCAGGATAATAGGTGTTGCTTTCTACCGGATCCTTTCCTTTGTCTCAAAACAGAAGTTTTCATGGGCCAATCTGCCGAGTTCAGCCTAAGAGCTGAGGCCAACATCTGAGTCTCCTCAGCACACAAGCTTGAGAGAAGTCCTCCTGGCTAGGAAAGTAAAGATTTCAATTCAAAACCACGGGGATAAGGGATCGTTACATGTGCCACAGAAATACCAAAGAATAGCTCTTTGCTTAAGGTATCCCTACAGATGGCTTAGTTTGACCTCAAGTCGCACACAAGTTTGTTTTCCATCTGAAGTCAAACTAAAAATGCAGGAGCCTCCCAGGCCAAGCAGGAAGTTCTTATTAAAGGTGCATCCGGATGCCCCAGCCCTCCGACACCAAGTGCCGCTGGGGCCCGAGGGCCGCGCCGCGTCCCGGCCCGGGACTGCACCGTCCGCCGGCCGGACCGCGGTTAGGAAACGGCGCTCCTCCCGAAGCGGAGCCCCGGCCAGCGCCCTTCCTGCTCCTTCCTTCCGCAGGATGGCGGGGGAGGTGCTCCGCCGCCGGGTAAGCGCGGCTTTGGGCCTCTGGGTCGCCCGGGACGCAGGGCCTGGGAAGGCCCTGCCCGCCTCGCCTTGTCTCAGGCCGCTCCACAAGACAGACCGCGGCCGCCGGCACGGCCGCGCCAGCGCACTCACCGACTTCGAGCTCCCGCGACCGCGGCGACTGCCTTCCGATGTCGAGGCCCCCTCCCTTTCCAGGGGAGAAGAGGCACGGATGGAGTGAGGCCGCGAGCAGCGACAGGCTAGCTGAGAACGGGCTGCGCCTCGTACCCGACCGCTCCGGCCCCTACCGACAAAATGGAGGCGGCGGCGGGTCTGGAGTCTCTGTGACCAATCAGAGCGCGGCGCTGCGGGAGCGGCCAATGGGGGGGAGGCGCCGCCCGTTGCGTGGGCGGGGGCGCGAGGGCGTGACCAATGGAAGACGGGCAGATGCCTGTTGCTGGGCGGCAGAGGCGGGGCGGGGCGGGGTGGAGGCGGCCCAGGATTTGAAATCCTGCGGGAGAAGCTAGTCGGGAGTAACCGCCGGCCGCGCCACCTCCGAATCCGGCGCCTTTTCCCCGGCCCCGACTACCCGAGCGGGGGCGCCCCGAACTTGCCGTCTGCCCCGGGCTCCTCACCAGCACCCCGCAGCCCTTCAGAAGGTGGGGGGGCGAGCGCGTCGGGACTCCGCGGCGCCCCGTGGCCTGACGTCACCGCCGGCGCGGCGCGGCCCGGCCCGGCGCACCGCACGCGGGCGCTGCGTGTGCCCCAGAGCTGCGGTTGGAGCCGCCCTGCTCGGGATATTCTCCCTGGGGACAAGGGAGACAGCAAATATCCTTCGGCTGATTGTGCCAGAAACCTGCAGCGAAGGAAAAAGCGCGACTTCTTTGGAGTAAATAACCCAAAAAGTGAAAAACGCAAACTTCTATGGACGTCAGGCCCCCAGTGCTTTTCGTTTTTGTTTGTCGATGGTGGGCCTGGAGCTCGGTCTGGGCGCCATCCCTCAGCCATTCCGGGTTTTGAGTGGTTTATCGGAGATAAGAATCTCTGGAGGACTTTTCTGCCCTGAGGCTGGCTTTGAACTGCTGATCCTCTGATCTCAGATCCCAGGCACCATTAGTTTTTTTGTAAACAGGAGCTCACTAATGGAGCTGATTTCACAGCCCTGCCAAGCCTTAAACTCAAGATCCTCCTGCCTCAGCTTCCCAAGTGCTGGGAATGCAGACAAGGACCACCATGCCAGCCATTAGTTTTATCTATTCAAGACCGTTGCCAATCAGAACTTTTCCTTCTTTGGTCATCTGAATCTTGCTAATGTAAACACGACATGTTGGAAATGCATGTATACTTTCTTCTCTCTGACCCAGAGGTTCAACCTACAAGACTCAAAGAATTAGCCGGGTGCCGGTGGCTCACGCCTGTAATCCTAGTTACTCAGGAGCCTGAGATCTGGGGATCACGGTTCAAAGCCAGCTGGAGCAGGAAAAGTCGGTGAGACTCCGATCTCCAATTAACCACTCAGAAAACTGGAAGTGGTACTGTGGCTCAAGTGGTAGAGCGCTTGCCTTGAGCTGAAGAGCTAAGTGACAGCGCCCGGGCCCAGAGTTCAAGCCCCATGACCGACAAAAAAAAAAAAAAAGACTTAAAGAATTCTGATGCTCCTCCCCAGAATTGAAATCTTTTGTGGTGGTCCCATGTGTACTACAATCTATGTTTGGTTTATATTTAATTTTTTTCTCTTTTTTTCTTTTTCTTTTTTTGGCAATCCTGGAGCTTGAACTCGGCTTGGGCACTGTCCCTGTGCTTCTTTTGCTCAAGGCTAGCTCTCTACCACTTGAGCCACAGCGCCTCTTCTGGCTTTTCTGTTTATGTGGTAGCGAGGAATCAAACCCAGGGCTTCATGCATGTTAGGCAAGCACTCTACCACTAGTTCACATTCTCAGCCTTATTTTTAATTTAAAAATTAAAAAAGGGCTGGGAAGTTGGCTCAGTGGTAGAGCGCTTGCCTTGCATGCCTGAGGCCCTGGGTTCGATTCCTCAGCACCATATAAGCAAAAAGAAAAAAAAAAAGCCGGAAGTGGCGCTGTGGCTCAAGTGGTAGAGTGCTAGCCTTGAGCTGAAGAGCTGAGAGACAGCACTCAGGCCCAGAGTTCAGGCCCCACAACTGGACCAAAAAAAAAAAAAAAATTAAAAAAGCCCGGCATTGGTAGCTCAAGCCTGTAATCCTAGCTAGTCAGGAGGCTGAGATCCAAGACTCTTATCTCCAATTAACTATTAAAAATCCAGTATTGGTGCTGTTGCTTAAAGTGAAAGTACACTAGCCTTGAGCACAAAAGCTCAGGGAGAGCACCCAGGACCTGAGTTCAAGCTCCAGGACCAGAAAAAAATATGTTTAAAAGGTAAAAAAACAAACAAACAATAGAATAGATCTTCTGGCCAGACATGGTGGTGCACAACTATAACCCCAGCACTCAAAAAGTTGAGGCAGAAATTGGAAGCTGGTGGCTCACACCTGTAATCCTAGCTACTCAGGAGGCTGAGATCTGAGGATTGTGGTTCGAAGTCAGCCCAAGTAGGAAAGTCCCTGGTTACCTGTGCTGATAACCTGTGCACGATGATGCTGGATCTGTTCAAGGGCACAGTGCATTTATGTAGAAGGGAAATTATTGGAAGAACTTGAGGGTTTTTTTTTTTACTTTTTTATTGTGAAAATACAGAAGGCTTACAATTACATTGATTCCAAGGTGGCTCTTTCTCTCTCGGGGGACATGGAACCTGTAGGCCTCCCTGTCATGGTGATGGATGGCAAGAAGTTTGTCCCTGTAGCTGGCTGCTTGGGTTTGAGAAGAGACTGAATCAAGACTCCACGGACCGGGGCTGGGAAGGTGGCTCAGTGGTAGAGTGCTTGCCTTGCATGCCTGAGGCCCTGGGTTCGATTCCTCAGCACCACATAAGCAAAATGAAAAAAGCCGGAAGTGGTGCTATGGCTCAAGTGGTAGAGCGCTAGCCTTGAGCTGAAGAGCTGAGGGACAGCGCCCAGGCCCAGAGTTCAGACCCCATGACCAGACCCAAAAAAAAAAAAAAGACTCCACGGACCAAGGGGCTGGAAATGTGGCTTTGCAGAGGACCTAGCACGTAGTAGGTGCTTTGATTTACTGAATGAATTATGTTTCTGGGAGGGCCCCGCCCATGCTGTTCTTCCCCAGGTATCAAAAAAGGCCGCAGGGGCTGAGAATGTGGCTCAGTGGTAGAGTGCTTGCCTAGCATGCATGAAGTCCTGGGTTCAATTGCTCAGAACCATATAAGCAGAAAAGGCTGAAAGTGGCACTGTGTCTCAAGTGGTAGAGTGCTAGCCTTGAGCACAGAGAGGCTCAAGGACAGTGCCCAGTCCCTAAGTTCAAGCCCCAGGACTGGCAAAAATAAAAATAAAACATTCCATGGGCCAAGAGCCTATGGTTTATCAAAGCAGGAAAAAAATTAAAAAGTAATGGCAGATAACAGCTTCTGAGGCAGGGGAAGCAGAGGACTTGTTGGCTCTGTGCGAGCTCCAGCTCTCTCCCTCCCTCTCTCCCTCCTTCTCTCCTTCCCCTTCTCTCTTCCTCCTCGTGCTTCCCCTTTTCTTTCCTCCCTTTCTCTTTTTCTCTCTGTTCTAACTTTTCTAAGTAGGATGTTGTCTGTGTAGCCCAGGCTGGCCTCCAACTTTCAATCCTCCTCCCTCATCCTTCCCAAATGCTGCGGTTATAGACATTCACCACCAAACCTGGATTCATTTCTCAATTCCAATTCGGAGTCTTTGCATTTTTACACAGTGTCCTTGACTTTGGTATGCATTCTGTATTACGAATGAACTGCTTACCAGACAATCACATCAGTATCCTTGAGCACTTCACTGCCAGCAAGCTACTGTGCTAAACAATTTAAACTCATTATCTTAATTCTCACCACACTCTCCTGAGTCAATATTACTGTCTCCATTTATGATAAAGCTCATTCTGATACATGATAAAACTGAGCCTCAGAGAAGCAAAGTGGCTTTCTCATAGGGCACATATATTGAACTGAAACCCAGGTCAATCTGATGTCAGAACCATTTTTTAAATTTGGAGACAAAAACTATAATAATTTGTAAAAAAATGTAAATATATATTTATACCATAAAATTGTTCTGTTTTGTTTTTTGGTCGGTCATGGGGCTTGAACTCTGGGCCTGGGCGCTGTCCCTCAGTTCTTCAGCTCAAGGCTAGCTCACTACCACTTGAGCCACATCGCCGCTTCCGGTTTTCTGAGTGGTTTATTGGAGATAAGAGTCTCATGGACTTTTCTTGCCCAGGCTGGCTTTGAACTGTGATCCTCAGATCTCAGCCTCCTGAATAGCTAGGATTACAGGCGTAAGCCACCAGTGCCCGGCTTATAAAATTATTTTTAACAATACATAAACATTTACAACAGTTATAGTTCAGGCTACAACCCAGGGCTGGCCTTGAACTTGAAATCCTCCTGCTTTAGTTCTGGGATTACAGATATGGAAACACCTCATCCATCCTTTTTTAGTTTTGGGTAATGGGATTCTCACTGTCTTGCTCAAGCTGGCCTTGAACCCCTGAGTTCAGCCTCCTGTGTAGCTAGGTCTCCAGGCATGTGCCACAGAGTTCAGCTGACACAAAAAGCTTTGTTCTCAACTATTCTGCTACCATTCCTGGCCTTCAGAGTTTACTAGGTTAGGAGCTACTCAGAGTACCACTTGCTCTGGAAAATGAGGGAGCTGCTCTGAGCCCCTGGGGCCTGAGATAATCAGTCCAGTAAACTGCATATATTGTCATTGTCAGGAACTGAAGAAAAGCTTGTGTGTGTGTGTGTGTATTCAGAATGAAAAATTGCCCATTGCAGGGCAGCTCTGAAATGACAACCTGTGAGAGGCAGAAGCTGAGAGAGAGCTTCCCCCCACCAAACACACACACACACACACACACACACACTGGAGAGGAGGATTTACTGAAAAGAGCCAGAAGAAAGACAGCATTCGATACATATCAGGCCAGGAAAACAGGAAAGCACTTGACAGGCTTCTTAGCAAGTGGAAACTTCCTCTCTCTGCTTTATTCTCCCTCCTTTACTTCAGCCCCATGGTCTTAAAAAAAATGCTGTTTGGGGCTGGGAAGGTGGCTCAGTGGTAGAGTGCTTGCCTTGCATGCCTGAGGCCCTGGGTTCAATTCCTCAGCACCACATAAGCAAAAAGCCGGAAGTGGCACTGTGGCTCAAGTGGTAGAGTGCTAGCCTTGAGCTGAAGAGCTGAGGGACAGTGCCCAGGCCCAGAGTTCAGGTCCCACGACCGGACCAAAAAAAAAAAAATGCTGTTAACAAGCTGCAGCAGGAGGAAAAAGGACAACACATTCAACTCAGTTACATTAAATAGGCATAGTAGCACAAAGCACAAAGCACTTGAGAGGCTAAGACAGGAGAATGAAGATCAAAACCAGTATAGTCATTGTTAACAAAAATTCTAGGAACAGAAGAGAAGCACCTCCATATAATAATGTGTGAAAAATGTGCATCAGAACTCTAGGCATTCACACATAGTGAGACAAAGGAGGATTGGGAGAGAACACAAAGGTGCAATACTCTGTGCTTCTTGTCATACAAAATAATACTTATCACAATGAATTTCAGGAAATAGAAACCAGAGACAGAGAGACATGGAGAGCGATCCACTCCAAGCTGAATGACAGCCAGCGTTTACTCTGTGGGGAAGATGCTGTGTTTTCATTACACCTTGCTCTCCTTCCCTCCTTTTGTCTTTGCCCCTTTCTACTGCTTCGCATTGCAGAGTTCTGTAGTCGCTGTGTGGTTTGCGGTCCTGCAAACCACATGTGCTGTGATTTAAAGCTAGGTGGCCAGGTCCAGGGACTCTTTCAGCCCTCACACACCCATACTTGCCAGCTGTTGTGTTGGTTGTCTTTTTCCTTTTGCCTTGTTTGGTCAGCTTTGCATGCATGAGGCCCTGGGTTCGATTCCTCAGCACCACATAAGCAGAAAAAGCCAGAAGTGGGCTGTGGCTCAAGTGGTAGAGCGCTAGCCTTGAGCTGAATAGTCTCTCGTACTTTGCTACCCGGGCTGGCTTTGAACCACAGTCCTCAGATCTCAGCCTCCTGAGTAGCTAGGATTACAAGCATGAGCCACCAGTGCCCAGCTGACTATAGTTTTAAAAAAGGTATTATCTTCCTCTTTTTGGTTTGAATTGAACACCTCACACTCTTGCTTGGCTGGCTTGCTTAGCAGGTGCTCTACCACTTGAGGGATGTTTCCAGCCCAGCTTTTGGCTGTCTGATTAGAGATAGAGTCTCAAGGATTTTTCTGCCTGGGCTGGCCTTGAATCATAATCTTCCAGGTCTCAGCCTCCTGAGTAGCTGCGATGACAGGTTTGAGCCACCTGTGCCCAGCTAGAATAGGCATTTTAGGGTGAAACTATGTTATCCCCCCATCCCCCACCCGACCAGGCCTGCAGATACACATTTTGTTTTTCTTTTCCTGGATTAATCCCAGCACTGACAACCCTGCTGGAGATGATCATCCCAAGAGGCAGGTGGCCCATGGATGACCAAGGCCGCTGGGCAAAAGTACAGGTCTCAGGACTCCACCTCCTTTACCCAGACCCAACCAGAAATCTGCAGTGCAGGGGCCAGCACAGCACACATGTGTCCAGTAGATGGCGGTGGTTCACAGTCTCACAGGGATCGAAGCAGCCCCTGGGCCCTTGCCTGCGAATGCACCCGTGAGCATGTGGAATCAAAAAGCTCCTTCCTGTGCGGGACCCAGCAGCCCTTGCCCAGGGCACCCAGGGACCAGGAGGTCCTACAGCATCCTGCTGCCCAAGGTAGGTCCAAGGACCAGCTGGTTAGAGGAACCAAACCAGAACCTCTGAGGATGGCTGGCATGACAGTCGACATCCAGACGTGGCGGCCATTGTAGAAGCATCTCTTACTTTCAACTTCCTCATTCTAGGAATGGGGAAATTAAGAGCAGACAAAGGAAGTGACTTGCCACAGGAGAGAAATTCAGACTCCGGTGTTCACATCACTTTTGCCATGAAGCAATTTCCTGCTCTCTTCATTCATGCCCTCACTTACATGTGTCTGAGGTGACCCCAAACACATCAAAATTAGGGCATCTGAGCTACTGTTCACAGGCAGGAAGTTCTTCCTGCTGTCTGGCCACTGTTCCTCTTGCTGCAGGGAACTTACTTGCTCCCCTGAACCCTCCTCCCTTGGGAGAGGAGGCAGTGCATGACCCTGGAGCTTAGTAGCCCATAAGTCTGCAAGCTCTCAGGTGTACCCCAATTAATACCATCCATCTTTTTTGGGGGGGGTCGGTCATGGGGCCTGAACTCTGGGCCTGGGCGCTGTCCCTCAGCTCTTCAGCTCAAGGCAAGTGCTCTACCACTTGAACCACAGCGCCACTTCCAGTTTTCTGGTGGTTAATTGGAGAAAAGAGTCTCATGGACTTTCCTGCCTAGGCTGGCTTTAAATGGTGATCCTCAAGTCTCAGCCTCCTGAGTAGTTGGATTGCAGGCGTGAGCCACTGGCACCCGGCTCTTGCATCATTTTGTAAATCTGTTTTCTAGTCACATTCCATTTGAACTGACAACACATACGATAAGGATAGGGCAAGCATTGAAGGCAGGACCTCTTCGTAGAAACGCCAGGTTAATTATTAAAAGAAATTCTCAGAAGTAGAGACTCAGAGAAAATTAGAGTCAGACAAGCTAACTGTGGTAAATAACAGTGAAACTCAGAAAGAGCCAGGCAACCTGGAAGGTAGTTTGATTTTGGATGTGATAAGTAAGAAGTTCGGAAGAATGTGTTTTGGTAAATGTCAGCTAAACCCTTATTGTGAATGAAACAAAGGAAGAGCCTGGAAATGTAACTTTTGCTTTGATGACTTATTGCTTGGTTTATTGAACTAGTAATTGTTATTTGTGATCATGAACAGCTAGTTTTGCTTCTGTAAACCTGCTTGCTATCACATACGCTGCCACCTGTGTGTGACCTGCTTGCCTCTTTTAAACCCGGCCTCGCCAGATGCGGTGGCTCATGCCTATAATCCTCGATACTCAAGAGGCTGAGATCTGAGGATCACAGTTCAACGCCAGCCTGGGCAGGAAAGTCTGTGAGACCCTTATCTTCAATTAACCACCAGAAAACGGGAAGTGGCGCTGTGGCTCAAGTGGTAGAGCACTAGCCTTGAGCTGAAGAGCTGAGGGACAGCGCCCAGGCCCAGAGTTCAAGCGCCAGGACTGACAAAAATAATAAAACCCTGCGACAAGAGAGCGTAGCTGCTGTTCTTCACTGTCCCAATAGCGGAGATCAGTCACTGCAGCTAATAAAGATTCCTAGTCTTATTGGCTGAGTGTTGGTGACTCCTTTTGCCGATCATGGGTTTGAATCCCACCAGCCCCGAGAAGTTGTGATACTTCAGTGTCCTGCTACCGCCACGCACTGGGCTGCAGTGGAGAGCCAGTCACTCGTCTTCCTCAAGACGGCTCTGCAGAAGCACCTGCCAGCCTCCTGCACCTCAGCACTGGCATCTCTACTTGCAGAGCGAATGTGGCTTCGGTGGCGGGGGGGGGGGGGACCCCTACGGCCATGCTCCCTGGCACTCTGGGTTCCTCACTATGCAAAAGCTGAGGCCATCACCCCACCCTCTAAACAGTCTCATTACTAACTCTAACTGGGCATACGCCACCCTGGTTTCTGGAGCCTGAGCTGGATGGTTCCTCCTTGCCAGGGGGTCCTTCTGTATTGTAGGGTGTTTGGCAGCATTACCAACCTCTACCCCTAGAGGTCAGTAGAATCCTCTGCTGGATTGTGGTGACCAAAAATGTCTCTAGACATACCTTGCTAGTCCCTCTGAATAGCATTGCCAGGTAAAATACAGAACAGCTGGTTAACCTTTTCTTTTTATTCTTCTGTATTGTTATCCTTAAGAGGTGGTACAAAGGAGTTGTTAGTTGACAAATGCAATATATCTTGAAGAATGCCACTTCTTTCAACATTTTCTCCCATTGCATATTGTTGTTGCTTGCTTGTTGAAACAGGGTATTGAAAAGCAACCCATACTGGCCTCAAACTCCTCAGCCTCCTGGGTGCTAAGATTACAGGTAGAAACCTGCATACCCAGTTCTCACACAGCGTTCCAAAAGTGTTTGGCTTTGTGCCCTACATTCAAACACTGAGCACTGTCATGTAAAGGTCAGGATTTCCTCCTCCCTGTCTCCCTCTCTCCCTATTTCTCTCCCCCCTCCCCGTCCCTTCTTGTCAGTCATGGGCCTTGAACTCTGGGCCTGGGCGCTGTCCCTGAGCTCTTCAGCTAAGGCTCTACCACTTGAACCACAGTGCCACTTCCGGTTTTCTGGTAATTTAATGGAGATAAGAGTCTCACGGACTTTCCTGCCAGGGCTGGTTTTGAACCATGATCTTCAGATCTCAGCCTCCTGAGTAGCTAGGATTACAGGTGTGAGCCACTGGCACCCACCTAGGATTCTGTATCTCCTGTGGAGATGTATAGCCCTTCTTCCAACCAGGTCTGCATTCCCAAGCGGGAAAGCTTAGCCAGATCTGGCAGGTGCCTGACCCCATTACTTCACCCCATGACCCCCAATCCCAACCCCACATTGTACGTTCCACTCCCTGTGACCCCGCCCCAGTGCCCGTCACTCGCCGATGCTCTCTGCCTGGCACCAGCGGGCATGTGTACTCGAACACTGTAGCCTAGCAGGGAGTGGAAGGAATGTTCTTTTCCAGTGACATATGGAAGGCTGGAGCTTCGGCCCCATTTTGCAGGTGAAGAGAACTAAGCTTTAAGTTCGGGAGATTGAATGAATTTTCTACCATGATAACATCTAGTCTAGATTGGAATCCAAGTCCTGGGGCCCTGGGGCCTAGGGCCATGGCCCACCCTGACCAGAGTTCCTGGTGAGGAAAGCCTCACTCAACTACAACTCAAGAACATTGCAGCACAAGGACCCAGAGGGGAAGTGATAACGGACGGAAGGCCAGACCTCCGCACTCACGCCTCAGAGTACAGAACTACAGCTGGGCGGGCACAGCTCAGCCGGCAGCTGTGAGCTTCTAGAAGCCAGCCCAGACCACTGGGTGGACACCGAGCAGCCAGGACCAGACCCTGCAGACAGCCTTCTGGGCCCAGACATCCACCGACAACTGTGAGTGGCTTTTACGTTGTTGTTCCAGGCTTCTTCCTCAGTGCAGAAAGCCGATCTTCTTGCCTTTCCCTTCCCTGCCGGGCTGAGAGAAGCCGGCTGAGCCTGGCTATCCCATTGGGACAGCTGAGGCTTTGAGGCACAAATCACAGGTGCTGAGGACGGCGGGGTTTTCTGGGACGGGACCGAGGAGTGAGGCAGCCTTTGATTTCATCGCAGCCGTAGGAGCCACATGGCTGTGCCGTGAGCCAGGTGCTGCTCCACGCGGCCGAGGTTTACGTCCTTAATCCTCACCACGCGTGAGTGAGTGTGATTACTAATGCCAGCTAACAGAACGGGAAGGGGCACTGTGACCTCCCTGAAGTCCCGCAGGCATCACTCAGGATGTAGGCTTGGGTACTGGCAGGCTGACTTCATGGCACGTCCCCCAGGCTGCTTTGCCTTTGGAGGTGCAGGTGGGGGCCCAGGAAGGGACCCAGAAAGACTAGGCCAGGCGAGTCTTGAGGATTTCCCGGTGAGTGTCCACTGCCCCCATTATATAGATGGGAAAAGTGAGGCACAGGGATACAAGCTTCCCCAGATGAGCCCACCAGGACCCAGGCACCAGGGCTCCGCCTGTGCCTCCCTGGAGGTTGCCCTGGGGAGGAGGCTGGGGTGCTGCCCAGAGCTTGGGGTCTAGGCCACATGTGGCCTTACTCAGCCACCAGTGGCAACTCTACAGCCTCAGACAAATCACTCCTCTGGTCTCCCGGCCAATTTTCCTCTTCTGAGCAAGCTAGCTGGGCACCAGTGGCTCACACCTGTAAGCCTAGCTACTAGGGAGGCTGAGATCTGAGGATTGCAGTTCAAAGCCAGGAAAGTCCATGAGACTCTTATCGCCAGTAAACCACTCAGAAAACTGGAAGGGGTGCTGTGGCTCAAGTGGCAGAGCGCTAGCCTTGAGCTGAAGAGCTGAGGGGCAGCACTCAGGCCCAGAGTTCAAGCTTCATAGCCAACCACGACAACAACAACAACAAAAGGCAAAACAAAGCAATACAGGCTGTACAGTGAGCATCACTGTCCGCCTTGGGTTGGGGCTCCGGGAGGAGATGCTGAAGCAGAGGCCTGGTACCTGAGCTGGACTCAGTGCCAGGCCTTGACCTTTACCCCATCCGCCCTTGCTGTGGATGAGAGGTGAAGAGAAGAGGAAGTGCTGCTGGTCTTTCTCCAGAGACTCTGAAGGTGTGAAGGGTGGGGCCGGGGCAGAGGAGGGGCAGGCCAGAGCTGGGGGAGGCCAGGGGACAGGCCAGGCCCAGCAACATGCCCACTTTGCAGCTGGAGAGACAAAGCTCCCGGTCCTTGTGCGGGCCCAGCCTTCACTCTTTGGCTAGCTAAGTTGTGCAAATGGCAGCCTTGCTCAGTCCTCCTTCACTTTCATGGAGTCGCTCAGCACAGTGCTGAGCCCTTATGCACCTGGGCCAGTAGCAAACCCGAGTCTCAGTTGTCCTGAGCCTTGCTCCCTGCCACTGCTTCTCAGCCTTTGACCCTCAGGACATCTCAGAGCCTACTCCAACAAAAGCCCGTCATAAACCAGCCTATCACTTCTCTGGCATACCTGGAATTCCATATTCTTTTTTTTGGGTCTGTTTGTGAGGCCTGAACTCTAGCACTGTCCCTCAGCTCTTCAGCTCAAGGCTAGCGCTCTACCACTTGAGCCACAGCGCCACTTCCAGCTTTTTTCTTTTTGCTTATGTGGTGCTGAGGGATCGAACCCAGGGCCTCATGCATGCAAGGCAAGTGCTCTACCACTGAGCCACCTTCCCATCCCCTCCAGATTCTTTACCGAGACTTAAAACACTGTGATTTAGCTGGGTTATAATCCCAGTTACTCAGGAGGCTAAGATCTGAGGATCCAGGCAGCCTGCAGGAATGTCCATGAGACTATTATTCCACTTAACCATCAAAAAGCCAGAAGTGGAGCTGTGACTCAAATGGTAGAGCACCAGCCTGGAGCAAAATAGCTCAGAGACAATGTCCAGACCTTGGGTTCAAGCCCCAGGACTCACACACAACACACACACACACACACACACACACACACACACACACACACACACACACACACACACACACACACACCCCAGAAAAACCACTGTGCTTTGTATCCAACCTTTTTTTTTTGGGGGGGGGGCCAGTGTTGGGCCTTGAACTCTGGGCCTGAGCTTCGTCCCTGAGCCTCTCTATGCTCAAGGCTGGAGCGCTACCACTTGAGCCATGGTGCCACCTCTGGCTTTTTCTCTGTATGTGGTACTGAGGTATTGAACCCAAGGCTTCGTGCATGCTAGGCAAGCACTCTACCACTAAACTGCATTCCCAGCAGCTAGCTTCCCCTGAGAGTAAAGCCCAGGTCCTAGCACGCCAGGTCCCTTCCCCACCTAGGGCCAGAGAGGACTTCTCTCTCTTTGGTGGAGACTCTTGGCTCCTGCCCATCTGGATGCCACCTTAATCTCTCCTGGAGTGCTGATTCTCACCAAGGGTGGGAAGGAGTTGTTGTTTCTGGCAGCTTCTGCTTTTACTCCACTCCTCTGAAAAGTCCCTGAGGCCGGAGATGCACAAGGGCACCCCGAGAGGAAACAGGAGGCCCCGTCTCACCGATAAGGAAAACTGAGGCTCAGCCACCGCAGGGGCTTGCACAATGACCCATGGGAAGGAAGAGCGGAGCCGGCTGGAGTAGGGTGTGACTGTGTCCCGGCACTGTGCACTATCAACACTGAATCACCTGTTGCCCACCCAGCTAGTGACTCGGGGCCATCACACCACTTTCTGATCTTGATCGTCTTGAACTCTCCCAGTCAAGCCCACCCGCCTCAAGGGGTGCTGCTTCCCTTCCATTACTTCTTCTGGAGCACAGGCCGTGGGTGGTGCCCCAGGGGGTCCCCGCCTTAGACAAGGCCTTAGACCTGGTCCAGGGTCACCCAGCCTTTGGAGGGTGGCCGGGGCCAGGCTGGAATCCAGTCCGGATGTAGACACTGCTGTGTCATGCGAGCAGATGTAGAGCGAGCCACATAGGACTAGAGGAATTGTCACTGCTGTCATCTTTACTGTGTCACTGTGGTGTGTGTCTCAAATACCACATCACAGACAGCCTGACACCCTTGGCTGAGGGACAGAGAGGCTACTCTGTATGGGCGGCCGTCTAGCCTTACCCCAAAACTGGACAACCCAATGGTCACTTTGTGTTTGTTGCATGCAAGGCCCTGGGACTCCAGTCCCCTAGCCCGGGGGCTCCAGGTGTTTGCAGTTTTCTGGGCCAGCCCTGCCCCTCCACACTTGCCAAAGCCATTAGTGCAGCCTCACCCTGCTCCCATCAAGGGATTTCTTTCCATCTCAGTCCCAAACGATGAAGGTGTGGTCTGGAGAGAGAAACCACCTTCCCAAAGCCAAGAGAGACAAAGACAGAGAAGTGGACAGACAGTGGGGATGGGAGAGGGGAGCCCAGCAGCCGTGGTGTGGCCCAGGGAGGGGAGGCTGGGCCGTTCCACAAGATGGGGGTGCTAGGGAGACGTTGTGCCCAGGTGATAGTGGAGGGTGTGTGTGTGTGTGTGTGTGTGTGTGTGTGTGTGTGTGTGCGCACGCGCACCCGTGAGATGTGCTGTTCTCTTTTCCTCCCCAACTTGCTCCTCAGATCTTAAAATGTGCCATGAGCCAGGAACAGCCCCACCCATGGAAACTCCTGCTGCCTCCTCTTGGTGACTCCTCTTGGTGACTCCCACGTCTCCCTAGGGGTTGTGGTCGCCCCACAGTTCCTCTTTGAGAACCACATTGAGAACTACATTCCCATAGCGACCTCAAAATTCAATGAGTGGCCAGAGTGGGTGGCACATACCTGTAGTATCAGCTAAGGACAGACAGAGGTCAAGAAGATCCAGGTTTAAGGCCAGTCCAGAGAGAAAAAGTGAGAAAGTGAGACCCCCCCCCCATCTTAGCTGCTATGTTGAGTGTGGGCAGTGCACATCTCCAATCCCAGCAGGTGGGAAGCTGAATCTGGAGGACTTCAGTTAGAGGCCAGCCTGGGCAACATAGCCAGATCCTGTCTCAGAACACACACACACACACACACACACACACACACACAGAGTCTCCCAGGCATGGTGTACACACAATAGCAGCAGAAGATGTTGGAAATTGTGAACTCAATTTTGAAGGACTTGCCTCTCCCCTCTTGGCCCTATCATTTTATGTATCTAAAGATGGACTATGAAGGATTGACCCCCACCCTATTGTCCTGGGCCATACAGACGCCAGGCCAAAGTCCCAGGTCTGTGTGAACTTATTTGAAGTGCAGGCAGGGCAATCCACCTAAGCCCAGCTGCAAACATCCCATTGTGGCCCATCTGAAAGGCCCCACCTTCCTTGACTGAGGGGCTTCTCATTAACCTCTGCCTCCTTGATCAGATCTCCTATAAAAACCCAGCTCCCGTCCCAACTCGGGGCACAACCTCCAAACCCCCTCACTGTTCCTCAATAAGCAGTCCTAGCTAACAATCCTCACCTGCTGATTACGTCCAGCCTGTTCCTGTTCCATTCTCCTCCATTTTCCTAACAAATTTCATAATGTGTTCCCAGATAATCTAAGTCATAAGACCCTGTCTCAAAATAGCAAAGAAAGACAGAGAGGAAAGAAAGGAAGGAAGGAAGGAAGGAAGTTAAGAAAGAAAGAAAAAAAGAAAGAAAGAAAGAGAGAGAGAGAGAGAAACAAGGTTCTGGTGGCTCACACCTATAATCCTAGCTACTCAGGAGGCTGAAATATGAGGCCTCCAGCTTGAAGCCAACCCAAGCAGAAAAGTTCACGAGAACTCTTATCTCCAACTAACCAGCAAAAAGTCAGAAGTAAAGGGGTGGCTCAAGTGGTAGAGCATCAGCATTAAGTAGAAAAACTAAAGGAGAGCCCTGAGTTAAAACTGATGTGCGTGTGTACGTGTGCACCCCCCCCCCCAGAGGCAGAAGTGACTGATCCTGAAGAA